CTCTTACAGCCATCTTGATTTCAACAAAGGAGTCTTCTGAGGAGCCGCTGGCAGTCAGCTTGAGCTGTAATTCAGACACGATGACCAGCAGGTCTGCCTTTTCAGCCTGAAGGCTTGCCACCTGGGTCTTCAGCTGTTTCCACTTCCTGCTCTGCTATCACCTTGGGAAGCCTAGAGTCACCAGTGGGGTCCTGGAAATGACAAGGAGTAAAGCACATAAACAAATCAACTAAGGGCCTATGCATCAAAATTGATTGTCCTCACACTCATGTAAAAGGCTGTTTTCAATATCTTTGTACCCTGGTTTAAATAGAAAACCCAGCTCTTACTTACATTTATTTTAAAAGAACATTTAAGGTGGAAATTTTTACTGTGTGTGCGCTTCTGGGTATTGAACCCAGTGGCTCTCTTCCACTGTGTTACATCCCCAGTACTTTTTATTTCTTATTTTGAGACAGGTAAGTTACATAGGCTGCCCTCAAACTTGAGATCCTCATGCCTCAGTCTCTGCAGTAGCTAGGATTCATATGACACAATGCCGAGCATTTTACATTATTTTTGTTGTACTCAAATAACAGAAATTTAAAATGACTTCATGAAAGAAAGAAAGTCTTCCATAGCACATTGAAATATGGATATTATGAAAAGAACCAGCCAGATTTTGGCAATGGTGAATTAGACCAAAACTCTAGAAAACAAAAAGAAAAAGAAAAAAATCCCACCTTTTTTCCTCTCCAGAAATGTCCACTTATCCCCATTCTCCCTATACTCATGATATCTAATTAGAAGCCAAAGCACCAAGGATATTACTTGGTCCCATGACAGCAAAACGCAGTGAAATGACCCAAATCCTCCCAATATGTAAGTTGGTGGGTACAATATTCTATGTTGGTGTTTGAAAGTTGGTAAAAATAAATCTGGTGAGAAATAGGAAATTTAAAATTCAGAGATTGGTACCAAAAGCAAATGAATAAATAAACAAATTTAGCCTATAAAAACAAGAATTAGCACTAATATCCCACTAGTGCCTACTATGCATTGTGTTCACCCTGTTGCAATGACTGCATATGTCAACGTCACAGGAGAAAGACCCTTTTTAGGTATGGCATTTTCACTTGGGAATAGGGAGAACAGATCTTGTCTATACACTGTCCAACACTGGGGGTATGACCTTGAACAGAATCCCTGAAATTCCTGGTCTCAGTTCTCTTAGGTTAGAAGGGAAGATGTGACACCACATACTTGGTTCTCTCCCTAAGAAACCTCCAAGGCTCTTATGTGCATGACAACATGCTTCATTTAGTTCCCTTTCCAAATT